TTCGAGGCCTCTGTTCTCGACAGCGTCGAACCGTTTCGCGAGACTATTCCCGGAACTATTGTGCCTCTCGCGTTAAGTCGCTCGTGTCGTCGCGTAACGATATCAGCTATGTTTCTGGTGCAGAACGGACCACGACGCGACGATAACGAGTTTCAACCCTCCGTTTCGAGGTCCGCGTGAACTTCGCGTTCCAATTATTTCAAGCAAATTCGAATTGGCCGTGAGATGATTTTTTAAACGGGCCGCACTAACGATTGCATTGCCGCGTACGTAAGAAGCCAGCGAATGGGGATCGCGGAAGGAAACGGGTCGAGCCGTATCTAACGGCCGCGTTTATTACCCGTTTATCCCCTCGTAAAACGGATTACCGGATCGTCCCGTGCAAACAGATATATCCCGCCGATTTTTCCCGCGGCTCGAATTTCATCCGCGTGTAACCGCCGCGATCGAAAACAACTGCGGGCTCTTGTTTGCTCCGACGGTTGACGCGATTTAGCGGTTAGATAAGCTCGTTAGATATCTCGGGTATAATTCGATTGACGCTGCGAGGACGGGTATGAGGATCGATCGATAAATCGTTCGCGGATCGAACTAATTAACTGTAGTTCGCGAATGCGGCAGTGTCACTTGGACAGTCTGCTCGTTGTTCCTGTGTAATTCTATGGAACTTCTCGATTCTTCTGCTTACCGACGCTAATCGCTTCGTCGAACGAATGGATCGCGTGATTTATGGATTCTAAATACAGCGGTAAGCGCAAAACAACTTCATTGTTTAACGGGTAACAGTTTAGACACGTGCAAATGCGAGAAGAAACTTCAACAGAGACTCGGTTCCTTAACCCTTAACAATCGAAAGCAAGAAAACTAAATAAAATCATTCAGATCTTTCGATGCGCTATGAACAGCTAAATTATACATCGAACTCCTGTATCGATCTTCTATTTGAATAACTTAATCGTCGTCGGTAACTTTGCATCTCCCGTCGATCCCCGAACCGTCGAAAATTCTCGAAAAGCGAAACCGCGGCGACGCATAGAAGGCAGTGAAATTGGAAGGCCGGTGCCATCCGTCTCGCGGAGCGGTGCTAAAAATGTGTGCCTCGAGATTCGAGCGGGTCCCCGTGTTCGCCGGGGGCCATTAGCCCGTTCCGCGATCTGGCCCCCGAGAAACTCGAGAGAACAAATAAAAAACGACGTTTTATAGTGTCTCCCGGCGGTGTCTCGCATACATCGGGTGGAATTTAAAAATACTCGCTCTCGAACCGGACGGGTCCGCGAGGAGATTCGATCGGGGTCGTTGAACCGTTCGATCGATCGGACAAATGGATCCATGAGGCTCGCGTTCTCTTAGACGTTCGTCGAGACCGAAGTAATCGCGAGTCGCTCTCGAGACCGTTTTAACCGGGCGAACCGAAGAAGCCTTTAACACTTTGACTGCCGCATCGCCCGAATACGACTGACACCGTTTTTAACGTAATCTTGAACATTCGTTTTCTCGGTGACGTATCGAACTAAGTTTTATTGATTGTGCGAGATATAAGGAATGTAGCGAAGTGATCGTTACGAAGAATCTTGCCTCTAGTTTTTGCTTTAAGAGAACTGTTTCGATGGCATGGAAGTTTTGGTGGCTAACTTGGCAAAGTGTTAACGCGAGTGTACCATTAACTCTCGTACCACACGGCTGCCGATGTGTAAAAGCGAGTATAGTGACGTGCAACAGTCAATAGTAAATAAAAATCATGAGATCACTTATACGATGCTTCTAATTGTCCTAAAACCGCCAATTGTTTGAATCGTTCTGTTGAAAAGTAAATAAAAATGTCGAAACCGGTCTGAAACGCATCCAGAATTCGGCAGCGAGCTCTCGGGCAGCGGCTCGCGCAAAAAAATCCCTCGAACGAGCACCTAGCCTTTGGTCGATGACGGCCGATCCACCGAACACGATCCCGTCACGCGACACCCGAGGTCGGCCACGTTCGCGTCCACGTCCCGCCAGCGACAGGCCGATCCGATCGTTCCGAACGTGCCGCGCGATTTCCTCAACGATTTCACGGTCGAATCGCGGCCGACGATAACCGAGCCCCGAACATCCGCGGAGGGAGACGCGTACGAGAGACGGAGCGAGTGGGAGAGACGCGAGTTCGTTGCCGCGTGCAAACCTGGCCTTGCAACGGGTCCAGATTACAGTCCTTGATCGAACAATTAGAGGCGCTTTTGTTATCGATGTTCCGCGTTGAAGCTGCACGAAGATTTCTAGATATCCAACGGATCATTTCTCGTCAACTTTGAATAAATTCGATTAACGTTTCATTGAAACGCAATCTGGCACGGGTTATATAGTGTCTGATCAAAATTTTCGGGCACTTCTGGTATTCGCGCCTCGTGCAAAAATTCCAACTAAATTGCATCGAAATTTTTGCATTTCCGAAACGGGGTATTCCCCGGTAATTAAATTTTCCGCATTTCTGAGATCGTACGGTGGTTCTGCTGTTAATCAGCCTCGCGGCGCGTTGTCGACAGTGTAGGACGAGCATTCGAGCGCCATGCATTTGGCGATGCGAGATACAAAGAGTGCAATCCGTCTCTGAGAAAAGTACGTCTATGAAAGCAGATGTCGGCGAAAATAGAACGTCAGCGACGGTTTCCTAATGCGGACCCTTCCGACGTCGTCCTGTTCCGCGAATTTATCGTGGATCGTAAAAGCGGCGGCGACGGCGGCGGGATCGATGCCCGTAAAATTAGACGGAGAGGAATCGTGGCGCGCGGATCCTCGAGTTAAAAATATTGAACAGCGATACTAGTTGCGTAATCGGGTCACGGGAACCGACCGATAACGAGAATCGCCGCAGCCGACGCCGGTGGACGTTCACCCTTCGCCGACTCGGAAGGTACCGAGTCTGCCAAAAAGACCTTGCTCTAGTGACACGCGAATGGCGGTTGGAAATAGATTGTGGATCTTTGTGCAAAATCGAAATACATAACTCCGAGGCGGTTCGGCGAAACGAGGATTCGCTTGAAAGCGACGTCCTCTCTTTAGAATTTCAACAGGTTCGATTATTCCAATTAATAGATTGAACTTTAGTCCGATTGGTCGGTAGAGTTATTAAGTTCTTATAATCGTTTCCCGATGTAAATGCATAAAGTGGCCTGGTCGTTCGTAAATAAGTGGCTCGAAAGATAATGAAGTGGAGAATATATGGTTCGATAGGGATCAATCTAATTAAGTGGATCACGTGCTTGAGCTTTCTAAGGAAATTGGAAACACTTTACGGTTGCCTTCTTCGGCGTATCACTTTCATTGAACTCCCAGTGGAAGAATTATTCTGGATGTCTACTCGTATCGAATCCGGTGTTCACTCGTATAAGTCTTGGCAATTTCAAACTGGAATCCTCGCGCGATGATCCGATGCATCGAAGGAAACCGATCGACGGACGACACCGATGCAGAAAATTCCCACCTGAGACACGTGACGCGCGGTAACGCGGTCATTAATCGGCGCTAGGGCAGCGCATGGGTGACCCGAATCGAGAGGAATGCAGCCCGATATCCATCGATCCGATCCGAACCGCGCGTCGATCGTGTCGACGCCTAGCCTGTTGCGTCAACGGCTCCGCCGCGTAATCACGTAACGCGCGACGCGTCGCTTCGCGTCACGTCGCGTCGCGTCGACGAGGAACGATCGCCCACGAGTTCACCCGCGATTCATATAAATAATAAAACGGTCCGGTGAACGGCGGCCCGCTATTATTAACCGTTTCGGTGCGCGCGTTGGCCTTGCATCGCGCTCGTTCCCCGATAGAGGAACTTATTGGCCAGACTCCCTTGCGCGCGCGATGCCACCCTCGTCATCGATCCTTCCGGCTTCCTGCGATCCGGCTGCGTTCACACTTCGATCGGCAGGCACTCGGTGAATTACTTAGGAATCACAAGAATCTCCTTAGCGGAACAGAAACTGAGGAGTCACGATTTCTTGCAGCGATCGTTAACCCTTGCGCTGGCAACCGCAATGACTACGTTTGTTCAAACTTGATTGTTTTCTTGAGTATTTATGAATGTCGAGTAAACGGGAATTCGGAGGAATCGTAGTGTTCGCTAGAACAACGCAGAACCTAAGGGTGAACCCTGCTGCGACCCTCGGTTTGTATGTTTGAGGTATTGGAAAATACTAACGATAATAATTCCCTTCTTCGATAACTTTCCTATGATATACTCGAGTCGAGAGGCATCATTGGCAAGAGAACGCGACTAAATCGGACGAGATGAAACGAAAACATTCGATCAATGAAAACGCGATCGCAGCCAACGACTCGGTGCCCAAAGATCGCAGCAGGGTTAACCTTCCCGAGCACCGGCGATCACTGCGGAGTATTCCGTTCCGCGTCAGCGCGATGACACGGCGATCCTCGCGTTTCGCACTTTCGGCTCCCGATTCCTTTCTTCCGTGGACTAACCGTGAGAAACTGCACTAGAACAGCGGGAATTGACCGGAGACGGGGTCTCCGCGTCGGTCCCGTGATCGACGAATCGGCTGCCAGCGGTCACAGGGGGAAAGGGGCTTCTGCGAGCGATCACAGGGAGGACGATCCGCGCGCGTACTAGATCGGCGATGAATGGTCGCGCGTGGCAGCATCGACTAGCGACGCGTTCGATCGCGTGATCACGACTGCGCCGCTGCCGTTGGCCGTGCATCCGCGAAACCGAGGATGATCACTGAGAGGCCGCGCCAAGCCCGTGGCGAAACTTGAATCGGTCGCTCGCTCGCTCGCTCGCTTGTCACATCGCGCGATTCCTCCTCCGCCGCCTCCTCCTCCTTTGATCTTCCTCTCCGAGCCGGCGGACCGATCCAGCCCGAGCCGGCCCGACTCGAATCGCCGCGCGTTGCACGTTCGCTGCTCCCGTGTTCAGCGATGGGAACAAGTTCGCCGAATTTAGGAGGATTTAGAAAGTTAAGCGAGAAACCGGGAAGATCGATCGAGGACCAAAGAGAAACGTGTTTGTCTCTTATTCTAGAAATTAAGAGGAAAAAGGCTGTTGTGCGCTGATCCATTCACAAGCCGAGTCGAGTCTAACGATCAAGGTTATTATGATAAAGTTATTTAGCAGCATTCAGTGTTGAACTTTGTATGCTTTGCTACGAGAAGCACTGAATATTTCAAGCGAAAAACTGTGGAATGCAAAGAGCGAGATATACAAATTGATTATGGCACTTGCGAAGCATTCGAGTTTCGCAAGCCAATTTCGAGCCTCGGAATGGGTACATACTCGAGCCCATCGCTACTTCTGTTTCTCTTCGCGCACGACTCCCTCCCGCCGCGTTCTTCTACTCCTCTCGCGTCTTCTTCCGATGACGAGCAAACGGCACGCGCGTAATCAGTCAACCGGCTTCGAAATGTGTGTCACGCGGACCTGGTCCGAGGATTTCTCTCTTCCGGGACGCGAGGCTTTCGGGGGTGGAACTTTCGGGATTAGCGCTGGTGCAATTTGTTCGGATGTCTCGGTATCTGGATCGTTTGGAGCTTTGATTAGCCAGGAACTTAGTAATTTCGGTTCTTAGATCGTAGATTGAACAATTGTCTATGGAGTGTCCGTTTATCTTGACCGATAGTCGCTTAATTAAATCGGGTAATCGGGGTTCCGTTGCAGTGGGAGGTTCGACGCGAATAATTGATAGTTTGAGATCGTTCTTGGGTTCAGGCAGAGTCGTCAGGGCTGAGTCTAAGAATAAGGGTGAACTTGCTCTATGAACCTTCTTCTTTGAACCCTTTAACTTGGCTTCCACAAGAGACTGAAAGATGATCTATCGAGTGAATCGATTCGATCGTCCGAATTACATAGTCCCGTTGATCATCCAGGAATCACGTGACGGCACGTGGGTCCGCGACGGATCGAGACCGTCGAAGAGATCGATAAGGTGGATCGGCGAGGCCCGATTGGTCCGTCATCAAGGTAAGTACACCCAGGTTCGATCGAATCGCGAGGCCGTCCGCGTAATCGGGCCGAGATTAAAACAGCGCCGTTCTAGAGACGCATCGCTGACGTTCGGGCGGGCGCGCGCGATTATTTTGAGAGTCGGCACGCGGTCGTCGCGTTTGTGACGTTCGAGAAATACTTGATCGAGCCGGGCTCGCGCGAAATCGCGGGCGAGATTCGCGTCGTTCCTCCCCCGCCGCGGCGACCCGCTTTTATGCGTCGCGCGATAAACTGAAAATTGCTCCAGTTACTCTCGATTGAGAAGCTACGTTGGCACTGTCAATCCTTAAGCCTTTATTTCATCGTTTTCTCATTGTTCTCCAGCGGTTCGGAATCCGAGGTGATTGATCACCGTGGTAGATAACGCGTGAAGCACACTCGTCAAAATCAAAATCAGTTATTAATTCTTCGTAACGATTGCTGCCTCGATCCTTTTAAATCTTCCGGATTCAAGAAAATTCGAGTCATTCGATATGCCGTCGAGAATAGTAGTTTCTAATTTTCAGTAGGAAATCGTGTCAGCCGAATCTGGATGTCGTGCCAGTGAAAATATTGGTTCGGAGAATATGTAGGAGATGACTTCCGAGTGTCTAGCCGCCTACTATCCAGGATGCGGTCCGATTGAGCGACAGGAAGTCACGGTTCCCAGCGGTTCCCAGCGGTTCCCAGCGGTTCCTGCCGGAAGAAACTTGAATGCGTTCTTCGCTGGAGATCCTACGATGTTCAGGTAACGATATCGTCGTGCAACGAGAACCAACACGCACGGCGTCGTATCATCTTCCAGCGGACAAGGAGGATGTTCGGAGGACATTAGAAACTCGGCTTCCCGTTTGCACGCGCGTTTCACTGTGATATGTAGACCACATTTCTAAGTCCATTATCCGAATCCATCCTCTGAATCGATTCGCCGATCAGCATCATCGGACCGAGCCTCTAGACCACTTCTGGCAGCTTGTACATTAAAGGGTTATCCGGGTTGAAGTTCGTATTACATCGTATTGTACTTGACCCGTACTGTATCTCCAAGTTCTCTATTATACTCCGAAACGAGATTGATAACGATGGTCCCAGTTCGTCACTGTCGACGATCGATACAGCGTCGTCATCGATGAAAGTCCTCGATCCCAAGGATTATTCCAACATTCAGGACACGATTCCCCCGATCGGTTTCGAACGAACCAATTCCACGCGATGCAGTGGAATCCTATGCAGCGTTTAACTCGGCACTCGAATGCACAGCGACATCGAGGCGCGATCGATCGATCCGCGATCCATCAGGCGCGCAACGAACTATCTCTCCGTCCTACCGCGTGCATCCCCCGTTGCTGGCGAGTCGGCACTAGGAAGATCCAATCTGATCGGTTAAAAAAGAAGGACAGACGCGCGTCGATGCATGCATTTTCGATAACGATGCACCATTCGCCGATGCAATCGCGTTATAAACAAAACACACGACAGAGTACTACCGTTGCCTTCGCGCCATCCTGGTTGTCAACTGCCCAGAGATGGCATTCGCGAAGGACGTAGGTCTAATCGATCAATTTTCATCTATTCTCGCATGCATTTTCAATACTAACAAGCCAGTCGTTGATACAATCACGCGATAGCCAATCAATACCATAAATAAAGCGCTAAACAAGACTCGCGTAGCCCCTGTGCCATCCTGGTTGCCAACTATCCAGGGACGTTGCTCGGGAGATGCGAGTCTAATCAGCCGGATCTCATCTGTACATTTTCAATGCTAATATTCTACTCGACGACGCGATCGCGCGATCGGTGAGTACCGCGAACAAAGCACAAAGCGAAAGACTCCTGTCTCCGCCTCATCTCCAAGAATGGCACTTGGAAGGCACGAAAGTCCAATCGATCCATTTCGACATGCATTCTCGATATCAACGAGCCGTTCGTCGACGGAATCGTACGACGACCGGTACTACGAACAGAACACAAATGAAAGGACTCCTGTCGTCTCCGCCGCATCCTGGTCGCCTCGTCTCCAAGAAGGGCACTCGGAAGAAACGACAGTCGCGCCGATCAATTCCAACATGCATTCTCGATATCGAGGAGCTACTCGTCGACGCGGTCGCACGACAACCGGTCGGTACCGCGAACAGAACACACGGAGCGGAAGATCCCCGTTAGCCTACTGCTCCAGTGGCGCATCCCGGCCGCCAACTGGCCAGCAACGCGGAGTACTTACTGGGCCACTGGCGTTCCAAGGTGGAACGCGCGACGAACACGACGGACGGACCGCGCTCCGAATGAACTGCGTTTCTAGGATTTCGCGAGCGCGACATCGCCGTCGAGGGGGCGGGAAGAAGATCGCGCGACCGACCGAGTTTGCGCGCCGGCCGACTTTCTCCCTTTCGGCGCTCTCGCTTTCGTTCGGGGTCGCGCGTACCGGCACACACGTACCGCGTCGAGGAAGTATCGACGACCGCGATGAATCGGGAGAGAGGATAATACGGGCCGCGAACCGGAGAGAGACGGGTGAACGGGAGCAAAGTCGCGCAAGCGCCGCCGAGGAGACCTAACCCAGGCCCCCTCGCTGCCCTTCGCGGAAAACCTTTCACTCTCGCGAGGTAACCCCGTTTTTCGGGGCGCAGCTTTAGGGTACGTGTCCATTCGAGCAACCGCGAAACCCGCCCGTTTCGGTGAATCGCTCGAGCTCGTCAAACTGAAAGCGAACGAGGATCGCGCAGCGGTGTGCACATTGCTTTTCGAGAGTTTCCTTTGAACGGGGAGTTGAATGAACATTGTTAACAGCGGGAGGGAAAGGTTTGTTTGAAATGTAGAAGCTTGAGGGTTAACCGAACGCTTTGAGTATGATAAATATTCATTTAGAATATCTTCCCTGTGTAAAATGTGCCGTTTCCAACGGTCTGAATGTGAAATTCACTCGCGAGAAACGTTCTCGGGGAGAACTCCCGATAGTTCGTTCAAATGGACACCTAGCTTTAGGCGGCTCCCGGCTCGTTATCCTGCCCCGAGGCTGGCAAAGAGGATCCCGCTTCTCCGTCTCTTTCGCTACCCCTCTGAAGGGAACCGTGACCGAGCGTAGGAGGAGCGAGCCGGCATTGATCTATCCCCTATTCTACGTCGCTCTTAATTACGGAGATGAACGGAGGATTTCGGACGCGGTCTTGACAATATTTCCAGCTAAATGAAAGAAACAGGTTCGATGGTAACAGGCCTGGTTAAAGATTCTTTTAACTTTCTCGATGTACCAGTAATACACCGATGCAATGGTCTCTTCGAACGAACGGTAGACGATGCATAGCTGGAACGATTTTGGTGAAATAGCTTCGGAAGCCTCGTGCAACGAGAAATCCTTGTGTCCGATACCATAGATTATACCACTGCGTGGAATCGAGAAAATAACTGTGCTGTTCTATATTCTGTATTTCTATCTGTGTCTCTACCCCTATCCATACTCTATACTCGATATTCACCTGACATTCCTCGTTCAATACTCTATACTCTATACTCTACATTTTTTCTATGTTCGTATCTCTATCTCTAGCTAGAGCCACATTCTCCATCTATATTTCATTCCCACGTCAAGTTCCCACGCCCAAAAAGACACCACCTAGGAGAGCCAGCGCGGCAGAGAACATGCTGGACCAGCCCATCCAGGGTTGTTTCCTCCCCAACAGCAGCTACAACGAAAACGAACGGGGAGCGTAACGTCCCGCAGGATATTGATCCTCCGGCGCGGCGTATCGCTTAATTGTCAACGGCGGGCCGATCCCCGTCCCGCGGGCACGCGAGAGATGCACCCCTGCCCCGTTACGAAACCGGGCGAATTATGAAATCGCGGCCGGTGCATCGCGTCCGTTGCGCAACGCGGTGCGTCGCCGCGTTAAAAAAAGTTCGGCCGGTTACGCAAGCAACCTTCGGGCCCGCGCGCGAAACGCCGCTGCATTATTCACAACGACACGCTTATTTTTCGGCGTTCCGTTCGGCGTTCCGTTCGGCGTTCCGTTCGGCCGGCAAGGGCGGAGCCACCCTTTCGAGGCTGCGGCGGGAAGAAAGGAGGACGCGATCGAAATCAACGCGATCCTCGCTCCTCGGGAGCAAGGAAATACGAGCGGAGCTCCGGAAGGAAGCGCGGGACTCAGCAGGAAAAGGGGACGCCGGGTTGGGCTTTGGGGGAGAATTCGAACGGGCAGGGAAAAGAGGGTGAAAGTGGGATGAACAGGGAACTTCGAACAGAGACGGAAACTTATTGTCCTGGGGAGGAACGAGGGGATGAAGACGCGAAATTTCGGAAGAAACCGAAGAATCGAGAGTGAACAATATTGTCCAGAGACGAGGGGAGAAAGGGACGATTTTGTAGGAAAACAAAGGAACCGAGGAATCGAGAGTGAACAATATTTTCCAGAGACGAGGGGAGAAAGAGACGATTTTGCAGGAAAATAAAGGAACAAAGAGTGAAAGGCAACGGGGATTCCAAAGAAGATAGAAATAAAACCACGGAGATAAAGCAACAGAGGGAGGAACAAAGTTTCAGGAGATGCGTAAAGACGAAAAGTAAAACAGTTTCAACGAGAGAAACACGGAGATAGGAAAACAGAGTTACAGAGAAGGAATTTCGCGGAAAGCGAGGATCGACTGAGCGAGAAGAGGATGCTCGAAAGGGGTGGCGCGAAGAGTGTCACGGACCTCTTTATATGGGCCACGAGATTCTCCTTGGCCGAGCGAGATATCTTGTCCCGGCGAGGGTCGGAACGCTTCCGACGCGCGTTACGCGAGAACGGTCCCGAACAGGCGCGGGGGATGAAATTACCGCGGGGCGGGAGGCGGGAGGCGGGACGCGGACAAACGACGGAACCGTTTTATTCGTTTACCGATAGAGGATCCCAGCTGGATGTCGCTGACACTGTAATGTCTCTTCTCTTCTTTCCATTACGCGCCGAGCAAATTCCGTTCCGCGATTCACCGATACGAACCGTCGTATTCTACGCGAGTTTGTTTACGCGCGCGGATTTATTACAGACCTCCCCTTTGTAAAGTGAAAGTGGGATTCGGAATCTTCCAATTTGGAAACAAGCGGCGAGTGTACTTTCTCAAATGCTAATTTTTTGAAAGTTTATGTTTCGGAAAGTGACGCAAGATTTTTTAGGAAATTAATTACTATTGGCACGTTGTAGCGTGTATTGTATATTGTATGTAGTAGTATGGTATATATTGGCACGTTCACCCTAAGCGAACACGGTTCCGTAAAAAGATCGAGTCTGACGGGGACGATGTTTACGCAGGACGTGTAAAACCGAGAAACTCGCGCAGCGCAGAAGCGATTCCGGATGGGAAGGAATTCGTAGGGCTTCCAATGGTGGACAAGGGTGGAACGCGAACGGGGGTGGCCCCGGCCACAGACTCAACCAACGCCAATCTCCCACGATAAATCCGGATCGTGAACCGTGGTCCGGCGGTTTGTCATCAGAAGTATCTTCCGCAAACAGACAATAAAAAGGGGACGAAGCTGGGGAAGACGCAAACACGTCGTCGGTCGGCGAACCGAGCTTCTCCATGCATGCATACGCGAGAAGTGAAAGTACAAGCACTTACCTTGCACTACTGGCAGTCTATCGATAAGTTCCTCGGTATCTATGCTACAGTGAAAATAAGTCGGATAACTTCCTTTCAACCCATTTGCATCCGTAGCGTGTGTACACGTTCATAGATTAGACTGTCAACGAGCAGTTAATCGATTTTACTGTAATCACTGTTGCAGTTAGTTTCAAGAGTACAGTTGAAACATAGAATTAGCGTGACAAATGATTCTTTCTAACGACTATCGCTCGAAGCACCCAGATGCAAACGAGTTAACACCACCCCCGTCGGTTGCTTTCGTCGCGTAAAATGATTTACTGCCGATTGTAATTGATATTACTGTAAGATCGAGACGAAGTCTAACTCTCGATCACCGATTCTTGAATAAACATTAAAGAACCACCGGTAAGTAACGTGTCAAGCAGCATGCCAAAAGTGAAAAGTGCAGAAAGGGCATGCACCGATGAACCCTGCTACGACCCTCGATGTGCGGTTAAGATAATGGAAGCGACCGGGTCAAGAAAGACTCGAAGAACGTGACTGGTTATACTTGAAATCCTCGCGACGCGGTCGAACTAGACGCACGACTATCAATTGACGTCGGGTACACGCGTGGCCAGCGAAATTCTACAGGGTGGCCGAGAGGATGCTGATCTCCCGACCTTGAACGGACGCGTAAGCGTTGAGGTATGCATATTCAAGTCGAGCTCGCGCGAAACGTAACGCATTCCCTGCGAATTCCGTCGAATGAATAATACTCTTATGTAACTGTTTGCCTGGACGTTCGCTTCCTCCGCGAATAATTAACCGCTCGGGCGTTAATACGGGGAATCGCGGTGAAACATTGTACGCCGATAGTTGCGCAGCAGTCAAACGCGGTTATATATATAATCACTTCAGAAGCCGAAACATTAATTTTCGCAATTTTTCGTTTTTGGACCTAATCGCATTGGCTTCTGGGCGACTCGCCCGGTCTAACGTGATATTCTTTGAGATCGTCCCATTGAAACGGGATGCTTCGTTGAACACGCGAACGGAGAGGGAATGATTGCGTTTTTCTTTATAATTATTAGCAATTATATATTCGAGACACTCGTGTATCGTCGAGGAAACATGCAGCGGAAACTAAAAGCAGATCGGAAGACACTTCTGACGGAACAGTCATGCGAGGCACGTGAACAATCAAAGAAAATATCGTCCTACCTTAAGATGTAATTCACGCAGACGACGGACAGCGGTTTCTGTTGCTTGGTGCAGTGGATCAGCGTGGCTTGGGTCACCACCCAAGCGTATCCTCCGCGTTTGCCGAGGAATCTGTACGCCACGGTCTCGCACTGACCCTTGCTGAACACTGAAACAACGAACAGACGATTGGTCCCGACGATCCTGTCGCGTCGATGTTAACTCTTCGCGGACGATACCGCAATTTTATATTTTTATCGATTTCTATTAAAATTACGATTGTATAAACAGATGTCTCAGTAACAGACTGATAAAAGCTTGATCCGAACGATAGATGTCCAAGGGCAATTGTACGTCGACGCACGTCCGCAAAGAGTTAAGTCCGGATCGCGTCCAGCTGCTTTTTGAACGAAGAAACCACGAAGAACAGGGATGTCGGTGGTCCTGCGATGTCTCGCGCTGCACCATGCAACCGTTGGCCCTATATACGCGAGCCGACGAGCGGTTAGCGCGCGCGCGGCGCTTCTTGGATGACGAAATTTCAACGCGAGCGCTACTAATCCGGATTGCGCGTATTTCCGTGATGTTTCAGTAGTTACGCGGCAAAATAGTGTAACTGTCATAGTATATAGTACAAAATAAAATAATAGTGTATATAGTGTATATTATTTTATTTTGTACTATATACTATGACAGTTACACCTTGTATTTTATATTACATACTTTAAATCATGCAACGTAACACTCTACGAAAGCCCACTCATCGATGAACGATACTTCCAACTGATATTTTCAAGTGTATCTACCAAGTAGATCGAAATGATTCATCTTTAATCTCTCATTCTTAATTTCGCAGCTATTAGAAACACAGGTGTCTCTTCGGAGAATGATTAAACAAGTGTGCAATTTCAGCGATAGAATCAAATAGGATAGCGAACCAAGGTACGTACGAGTCGATTGAAATTTCAAATAAATGCGCCCTTGCGGAAGCAATAAAACGAGTCTTTCACTGTCAAAGTATTTGCAATCGCCCTACTTCGCCGTGGTTTCCAGAAAAACTGCCGCACGGGAAATCCAGTGACTTGCGCCGCGGGATGATTTATCGGTGCTATTTACAAAACGACGCTTTTTTCGAGCGGGTATCTGGGCTGCCTGGAAGAACCGGTCCCTCGAATTTCGATACCGTTCGCGGATCCGCTTATCGAGCCCCTCGCACCTCCATCCCGAAGGTTCTTCCATTATCGCGACACGGAGGAGGAGCAGGACACGTAAAACGCCGACGGAAGATGGGATTAACGCGGGACGATCGGGAACGCTGATGCAGGATCCCGGGATTGCGACGCCGAGGGGATGCCGGGAGGACGCCGGGAGTGGTCCTTGGATCGATAGGATCATACTTTTTATCGCGGGCAAAGCGAGGCTCCGCTGGATCGATAAGTCTTGGTGTTAGCGTCGTTATTCATCTTTATTAGGTATACGCACGGGACGGGACAGTTGGTTTATGGTTTATGTTCGGGGGTGAAAAAGGAAAAATGGAAGGTGCGCTTGAAATATGAGAACCCACCGTTGGATTAATCGATTCAAGATTTTTTCAGTGCAAGTGCTTCGGCTGTTCAACGATTTGAACGGAATATTTGGTTTTAGGAGGAATGGAAAGTGTGTTCGAGACATGGCGAGTATTAAATCAAATTTGTCAAATTTAATTACTGGAGCAATGGTTGATTACGATAGGATTATTAATGATGGTTATTGCGAGAGGATAATTCGAGCGTAAAATTTGTAAATTGAGGAAAATTGGGAAGGATCGAACGGTGCGATGCTATTGTTAACAGGTCGAGTGATAACAGAAATAACGTAGAAAGGATTAGAACAATCAATCGAGATCCGGTAAACCGGTCCATTGAATTCTGATGAAATAAGTTTCAGTCGATAGACTTCGCTATAAACGTGCGGAATCTCTGGTCTAATGACCAATACCGAGGGAAAGGTGTCCGCAATGAACTCGACGGGTCGGCAGCTAGATATCGAATCAACAGTTTCGTAAGATAAGGGTTGCAGTCGACGGAAGAGAGTGATTTTATAGGCAATTCCGTCGCGACCAGTTTAACGCGCGGTTATTCCAGCTAACAATTAAATCACGTGCTCGTAAAAAGTCGGCCCCTAAAGTCCTGATAAGAGATTGCCCGTCCTTGAAATCCTTCGACCGTGTCATTCACCCGCGCCCACGCTGCATCGGCGAGCTCGTTCCACCCAACGCCCACGAACTCCACTTCTGTTCTTTTTTTATTTTTTCACATCTCCTTCCGCATTAACTGCACGATATTATCTCGAGAAACAGACGAACGATCGAAGTAATATGAGCATCGAGAAATAGTGCAGATTTATTAATATAAATTGAAACTTCTTTCAGAAGAAGATACTTTCACACTGCAACTAATATGGCAATTAAATAATTTCCAAAGTCAATCGTTTAAATGGTGTAATAAATGTCAATAGAAACTTGCAAAAGTATACTCTCATAATGTTCATAGGAATTAGAGATTAATGGGAATGAAATAGTTAGTCGGTAGTTGTAGTGTTAAGGAATGTCAAGGGTTAAGAAGGGTCGATGCTTATTGATACTTTGCGTCGTATCATTTTCGACGTTTCATCGTTGCGTTCATTGCGAAGTCCGTCCTCGAGCGAGAGGCGCGGACTGGGTACAAATATTTGATTCGAGCTGTTCGCAGTTATTCGAGCGTTACGCGATCGTCTCGCGAACACCGAGAGTGGGCCGCGCGAACGATCGCATTTATTCAAATCAGAGTCAATTGGCTTCGTACTCACGTGATTTAAAAGATTTGTCCAGGGCCAGATTGTCGAGGGCGTGATAGAACTCGAAAACAGACTGCCCCATCAGCTCCTCGCTCTTCCAGCCAAGATACTCGGCCAACCTATCGAGGAAAAGCGATCGATTACACGGATCGAAATGATAATTCTAACCTTCTGTTAGCTGGTGTCAGTAAACAAATCAAAATTCCTATCACCGTTCATTGGAAATCAAATTAAGCGTATAATAATTAAAGAAACAGAATAATTTATGGCATAGAATGACTTGTTAGTTTACGATTGCTATAGGTTTATAAAAAATTCATTAAAAACTATCGCGGAACCTCTGAGTACTTATAAATAGCACTTTGTATAAACCGAGCGTAAAGATCATAGAATCAATGAAACGTGTCCAAGAAGTATTCGAAACGCGTCTACGCTGTACATAAACAAGTAGAATCTAATCTTCTCCCAAGGTCAATCAGCAATTACTCTACAATCATGGGACTGGCACGCGCTAAGTTGCTTCTCATTGGTAGTTCACATAAAACATCACTCTGTATACATATTCCCGAGTACTTGGTACTGGGTTATTTCGAGTTTTGAGAATTCGAAACCCTCGTGTTGAGAATTCGAAACCCTCGAATTTGATCTCTACTTATTAGCGGATCTTGCATTTTACGTTGTCCACACGCTGCTACTTACTTTTCGTCGGCGTAGGTGAACTTCATGCTGAGGGTGTGCTTCGAGAGGAAGGTGTGGCGGCCCAGAGGGATTTCTATGTTACTGGGATGCGGAATGGGGCATCCGACGAGCACCAATGAGGCGCCAGTGTCGTGCTCGCCTTCGTCTTCCTCGCTCTTGCGATCCTTCTCGTCGGTATCCGGCGTGTGCTGCACGGGCTCGCGAATGTACGTCAATCTGCCGGTGCAGTGGATCACCTGGCACAACGGAGCACGTTGCATAATCGCACCTTTTTGCTCGGCCGCGCGCGAACACCGGTGATTCGCGGCGACCGGTTCGGGTAACGCTACCGTCCATAAGTACGTCTTTGGATAGGGTAATTCGGGGTGAGATAGCCTGATCTCGTTAACGCTAGAACTAGCAATTTATTTCAAGTATTAAATATTCGAAATGATTTGAAAAATAAATGGTTTGAATGCCGCGAATGAGTACATTGACAAACCGAAAAAAATCTATCGCTACAATTTTTGTAAGGATCACACATCAATCGTCCGTGTTAAACACAAAACGCCTGTGCGAATAATTATCTCTACCATTCTAATGAAACAGTGGTTTGCGATGCATTCTCGTGGATTAATGACCGTGTTCGTACTTATGGACGGTAGTGTACGCCTTAGAAAGTGACCAACCTTGTACGAAGCGCTCTTCAAGTTCACCTTCCTCCCTTTGCTGGTCAGCGTGCACTTGAGCCGCAGGAAGAAGCTGCAGCAACGCTTCTCGTTGCTCTCCAGCGGCTTTGAGGAGAGGCACTCGCGCAGCTCGTCGTGATCGCACGGATGACTGTACTCGTACACGCTCTGACCCATCATGTCCATCTGAAAGAAACAACCGATCGATCAACGGGACGATTCATCGGTGTACCGAAGACTTCTGGAAAAGGGATCTGTAAATCTGTGGGCCCTTTTTCAGTTAATCGTGTTTACAATTCCAACCGAACAATTTCGTCGGTTCACTCGATTCGCTGATTCAGCCGACGAGCCCTTTTCCAGAAGAATCCTCGTTACAAAAGATCCTCCAGAGAGAAACTCACCTGCGAAATGCCCAGGTAGTCGCTCACGTTCTCCGAAAGATAGACCATGTTCCCATCGCTGGACAGCACCAGCATGAAACCGTTCAGCGCCTCGGAGAACAGCTTGTCCATCTGGGTCGATGTCTCGGACTTGGCCAGTGGAGCTGGCACTGGGAAAAAATGGGGCAGCGATTACGGGGGTGGAACTGCTGGAAATCCCGAAGCCGAGTTGGACACCGCAGAGTTTCCTCTGGACGCGTCCCATTATTGCTAGCCACGCGGGGATCCTTCACCCGACAGCACGGATTAAAGAGAAATCAGAGGAAAGAGTTCTCTAAAGCGCAATCCGATAACCGTAACGCGCCAGATTTGTCTTGGAATTTTTTTTTCGAGCGATTAGATAAGGGCAGCGGCGCGAAACTCGATAAAATCCAAATTGTTTCTGCAGCTATCGGCTTCTGGTTGCAGTCCGGTAGCTTTCGCTGGAGACGGGGGAGGGGCGGAATTGACTGTGGAACGTCTTAGGGTTGAAGTTCATCGCGAAACGTTCTAAGAACTAAAGAAACTTACTGGACTGGACAACCGAGCGCACTTTCAGATAAGCGATGGCTAGCCTCATCACGCTAGCTTTGTCCAAGTGCGCGGCCTGGTCCTGGGAGAGCGGAAGCGCGGTCGCCAATTCCGTGAATATGTCCGTCTCCTTGCTGCGACGGTACCGCGCGGCATCTCGGGACTTCTCCTTCCTCTTCTCGTTACTCCTACAACACGATCGATCGAGGTTCACGTGTCAAGAACATCCCTAAACTTGGCGCAATTAACATATTCGCTGTCACAGAAATGTTCCGCTCGCGCGTTACTCGTCCTTTCGCAACAAAGACGAATGGTGTCGTTAATGATAGATTATTAACGATTCGGTATCACGGACCGCGACGCAAACATTGAACCCAAGTCCTAACGCGTTCGTCAACAGCGTCACGCGAAACTCTTCCAAGAGAGGACGAAGTTCATCCCCTTTGTTGCATTTTCTTACTCGTAGTTACGTAATGCCATTCAGGTATCAGATTTATCGTTCAGTTGCGAGACCTGTTGGGTACTTCATATCCAATCTACCGAATCTCAGCTTTCAGTGGGAAAGTTCTCAAACGGAAGTTAAAAATACAATGTTACGAATATCGAGATTTCGGGGAGACGAAAGTTAAGCTCGAATTTTCTGCTATTGATTGTTCTGTTCCAAAGTATATGTACAGATGGATTGGTAATTTTCCTTTTTTCGGTCAATTACCGAGGACACAGTTATCCTTGCGAGCTCGACTATCGAGCGAATCGTAGGACAAAGGGTTAAGGAAGCATCGCACTTCAGCGAAAGAAGGTCGGCGAGCCCCGCGCTAGGGGACGTTCGAGAGCGGCCGGGAAATCCATATGGAGCGAGGCGAGCGAAGTACGTATCGACGACGCATAGGTGAGATTCTCATCGGACACGTCTCGTCACGTCTCGACTATCGCGACCGGCTGTTATCTGTTCTACAAAGCGACCTTCGAACGACGGTTACACGCCTCTCCTCTCCTTTTCCCGGGGAGATCCGCGCCGAGTCCTCCGTTCGTCGCTTCCGCGCGACTCCGATCGGGATCTCGTCGAATCCCCCAGTTCGTATTTACGTTCCGCGTCACCATCGGATGTTTACAGTTCGGCCGGAGGATCCGCGGAGAAAGCGGGGACCGAAATCGAGCCGGACGAGTGTCCCGGTTAATTGAGAGGTAGAGAACGCGACGCGTTTTAATCGCTAACTCCCTGGATCCAGCGTCGGGTAGGAGTTCTTCGAAATAACGAGCGAAGAGTGAAGAATAAATTTCGCCCGATTGTTATTCGCGAACAACAAATAATTCATACGTTCATCGTTGATAGTTGGCAAACGGGTTGAATATATTTGAGATTTCTTCATTCACTGTTTTGAATAACTTGTACACCGACAGACGTGAATCACCGGAGATTCGAGTAACCGAATACGCCTCTTCCACTGACCAGTTTTCTCGCGTTATCTTCGACCGAGAATCTAGCCTACAAGGCGAGTTAATCAAGGTGGGAATTAAAATCACGGAACGGAAGATGGAAAAGTTTCTCCTCCGGCTAACTCGCCCTACCGTCCCCCCTCTACAACAGAAGCTCGGCGGCGGCTTCGATACGCTCTCGTTCCGTCAACAAACAGCAGGGATGGTCACTTAGCTACAAAGTTAGATAAACAAAGTTCCACGATAGATACGTGGACGTAGATTTCGGTATCACGCCAATTGCATAAGCGTTCAGCTTCGGATTTCCCACGACTATCGGGATTTTACCTTTCAGGTGTGAACTCGAACATTTCAGGTTTCTCGAAAGCGTCGGGATTCCCGAGATTTCTCGAGTCATAAAGGATAGAATACGGATTGAAAATAATGATCGCGTATTATTTGTATTTGTCACGATAATTAAATACCATTTAGTTGGTTCTACTCGGCATTGTCTTTCATGATTTCCGAAATCTCTGGAGAACCAAATATTTTCGAGTTGACACGTGTAAAGATAGAAGCTCGATACAAGCACCTTGATTTCTCCGAGAAGCGTCTGTTATCTTTTCAATAATTGCAAAAAGAAGCAGCGAGGAATAGGTAAATTGTCCCACGGCGGTTCTAGCGATAACGAATAACCGAACAACGATCAATTCCATACTCGTGAGCGTTATTCGACTAGAGTTTCGTTAGAACAATGCCCGACATGATCGCCAGGCACTTACAAGTAGTCCTCGAGCTGCTGCTCGTCCTCGTACCCGTAGCGCCAGTAGTCGTTTCGGAAGTCCTCGTACACGCACGGTGGCACGATGTGCGGCCCGTACGCAGGGTACGCGGCGACATCGTACAAAGGGCAACGATCGCTCGCGGGACACTCGAGCCACCGTTCCTCGGTGCAAAAATCGAAATTCTGCGGGCAGCTATTGCAGAATCGGTCGTCGAGCCAGCCTGCGCAGTCGAAATCGACGTTCCCTTGGCATCCGACCGCCGCCGGGGTGAACGCGAG